ATGGAAATAAAAAATATCATGCAGAAAATATAAACAATTTTAAAGGAAAAATATGAAAAGCACCGGCCTTTGAAATTAAGATATTTTAAAAACAGTAATGCAAAATTTAGAGAAAAATTCGTTTATTTAATTTAAGTAGAAAAAATGGAAAAGTTTTCTTTAATTTGGCAATTCAAAATCCTTATAAATATTTGTTAACTATATTATAAAAAACAATCAACAGTAAATCAAGGAACAATTCAATTGTTTTATTAACCGGCAGCTCTTTTTTCATTAAATCATGATGAGTAAAAAAAATATGAAATTCGTAAAGATCTTTTATAGTCATCATCATAGTATTCACAAAAATTTACTTTGAATAATTAAATTAGTTTGATTGTCAGATTTTCAAATACTTTCAGATTTCAGATTTCACATTTTCAGAATCTTCACATATTTAGATCTCAGATGTTTTAGTTTATAACTTCTCAAATCTCAGATTTGTCAGAATCTCAGATAATTTTAGATTCTCATATTTTAATGATCCTGAATTTTTTGATTCACAGATCTCAAATATCAGATAAATGACAACTTATTGAAAAAGAGTACAGAGTGCAAGAAGATTGCATTTTAATTGGGCTGTCCATCTGTTTTGCCGATTTTTGATTAAAACGCAAGACATATTCCGATTCTAGCACTGAAAAGTGGAACAGACCAAATTTTCGAAGCATCTTACAGGAAAAATAGGTGAAAAAACCAGGACATTGAGGACTTTAGGCGGGACTTTGTTTAAAAAAGGGGGATTGTCCCGCTCAAAAGTGCGAAGTTGGACAGCCTTATCTGGAATGCATTTAGACAAACTGCTTTATCAAAATGAAAATTTTTACGCAGCTTTTTCATTGTTACTAAAACTCGAGTTCAATGTCACCTTTAAAGAAGTCAACCATATTTCATTTTCAAGCGAAAAAAAAACAAAACTTTTTAAAGAAGACTTCAAATTACAGAAAAGGAACCATACTTGCTTATTGTTGCCCCGGGTGTCTCATCCGTATTCATTGTCTTTTTGTGTATGAAATTGCTTGTGTTACATGTTGCTTGCTTGGGGGGTCTCGCACCAATGCCCACGGTGATCTACGTCATCCGGCAATGAAGAAGGCACTTTTGTGTATGTACAGTTGATATTAGAGAAGTAAGAATTATTTTCAAATTTATTCTTATGGATGGAAAAATGAGTTTTTTTTAATGTTGTTTCTTTTTTAAGAAATTCCTTTAAAAGTTCCTTTTATAAATGTTAATAAGAAAAAATAAATTCTCATGAAATAGGGTGATTTTATTATTTCAACCTATTAATGCTAATGAATGGAATTTAAGGAAGTTTTCAAAAATAAATTAAACAGGGAAAAGGATGGCATAAAATTTTTACCATTTTTCTCTGAAAAACTGACTTTTTTATGAATTCGGAAGAATAAATTTGAGAATCTTTGTTTGATATAAAAATAATCAATATAAAGGTAAGAATTCTGTTAAGTCATGATTTTCATTCACACATTTAAAGGAAATCAAAGTAAAAACAGAAATATTAAAAAAACAGAAGCGATGAGTGAAATGTAATAAGAAGAAATAATGCAAGAATAAAAGTATTTTCAATTCAGTACAGAAAACTCATTGAACCCACAAAATTTTCCCACAACAATCAAAAAAAAAAAAACAAAAAGTCGAGAAAACCACCGAAAAAATCTTCATTCATCTCCTTTCATAAGAATCGGATGCTCATCGTACACCGTCCGACCATAAAGCGTATCTCGTAAAAACGTGAATTCATTCATGACGGAATTTTTTTCCTCTCAAATTTTTTGTGGTTCTTTGGCAAAGCAATTCAAGTGAGTGCACATAAAGATGAAAACAAAAGCGATCACGAATTGAGTTGTTGTATCATCCGAGACATACACAGAGAGCAGAGAATGGTGCAGAGGAGAGAAGAAACAAGACTCATTCACTTGTTTGTGCCTCACATTCACCTTCGGCATCAGCGAGATGAATGAAAAATAATATAAGCAAAGCTGAAAGTTTTGTTTTATTTTTGGATCAAACTTTTGCTATTTAAATCAACCGAACGGAAGAGCGATAAAATAAAAAAGTTGAAAGAATCAATTCGATATAGAATTGCAGCATGTTTTTGTACTCTAAAGTGCATGAAGTTTCATGTACGTGAAGAAAAGAGAAAAGGAAGAATTTCTAATTTCATGTATTCTATAATTTTAATTTTAACATAGTTCCGATATTTGTACGACAGAATTAGATGTTTTGTTGTCGTCATCATCATAGCTAAGGTTATTAAACTTTATTTTCATTTAAAAGTTCTATGTCTACTGTTTAAAACTTAAAGAAACTAAAAAAGTCTTAATAAAGCCACCTGTTTTACATTTTTTCAAAATTCTATGCTTTTCAGCCCTCCTTGACTCATCATTAATTCCCTTCATTCCTTCACTTTATTCATTCAGTGTACGAATACATACAAATGATTTAAACATTGATGATGCCACATAAAAGACACACAGCTCATTTATATATATTCACATTTTTCAATTAAAAACTTTAGCATCACAATTGCTCTTTAACTAGAGTAGACATAGATTTAGAATTGAAAATCCACAAACAATTTTAATATAAAGTTTACTTTCAAGGTTCTTGACATCTTTGCATCACAACTAAAAAGACCCTAGAGTAATCAATTTAAATAGCATTTGAATTATATTTGGTGTGAATATCATTTAGGATTGAAATGAGAAATTAACATTGTCTACAATTCTCAACTTTTCCTTTTTCCAACCCCAACATGCATAATTCTTGTGCTGTTATTATTTTGACCGGAAATGCATTTTAAATAAATTTATATAGCTACACGTACATAAACGTCGCAAAAAGGAAATGAAAAAAATTAATGAAAAATTATTTTAAAAAAAATAAGAGGAATATTCTTGAAATTTACTTCGATCAGTGTTTAATTTAAAATATAATTCAAATATGATCCAAATCGTTTGTAATAATTTTTTATTACATTTAAGTATGAAATAGGAATTGTAAACGACCCAAGAGCATTACAGCCAAGGAATTAAAAGTAAGTATGGTGATAAAGGGTTTATTTTAAGAGAAACTTTTAAAACTTTATACAAAAAGCAAAATTAAAAAGTTGATCAAATTCCCCATTTTCTATTTTTCTCTTTTCTTTTTTCATTTCAAATTTTCTTGTGCCAACTTATCATCATGTTGATCATTATCATATAAGAGATATTCATCCACATAAGTTACACACAACACATCCCATTCATTAAACGGCATAACCATATACCTCACATGTATGTACAATTATGTACGTGTACATCACAATACACCTCATTTCTACTTCTACTTCTCTGCCGCCGACATTTACCGACTATGATTAATAAAAAGAGAGTTTCATCGTTGACTAGTAGAGCACGACGCGCGAGTGGAATGAAAAAAAAACTTTTTTCACTGCTGTAAAATTGAAGAGAAAGAAAAAAGAATCAGATTAAAATCATTCCTTTTTGAAGGATGCTTAAAACGCATTTTTATCCCTCAAATTTTATTTTTTAAAGTTTTTGATTTTTTCAAAAATTTAAAAGTTTCGTGCGCTGTGAATAATTTGAATATTTCATGACCAAACTGCCTTATTTTTAACAGCAAACTTTTTAAAATCACAATAAAGGTAAAATTTATGTATAGTGACTTTATGTTACTGTTGGAAGAGACACAAGTTGATTCTTGCTTGCTACTTTGGTCATTATTATTCTCGGGATTGAATGGGGCAAGCACAAAATGAGGAAGAATGAAAATAGAATGGAATTGAAAATTACATCAATTATAAACTCATATACATCCGCTTTGCTTTATGTGAATACTGTTTGTGAAATGATAATGTTTGAATATTAGGCGGGATAAAACATTAAAAGGACTGTATGCTAAATATGATTATTTTTTCAATTATTTTTTAAGCATGTTCTTAATGATAATTTCAGTATCAAATTTGATATTTATATCAGCAAATATATTTGATTGACAAAAACTCATTTCTACTCATTCGTAAAAATTTTACGTACAAATTACAAAAAAATATCATGAGTTTAATGACCGAAACAGTAGTGAATATGGTTTTTGACTTTTCAATTTTTTTAAAAAAAATCTTTCCTGAAAATGTTACGCTATGATTGATGAGAACTTTTCAAAAAAAAATTGGGGGTTAAAATGCTACAAAAAATTTTCTTGAAACTTGGCTATTCTTTTTTGAAATTTTTGAATGTAGGCTACAAACCTGCTTAAAACAGTAACACTTGTCAAGAGAGTAGTTTAGGTCAAGATTTCAACAGCAACTTTATAGGAACTAATTTTGCTAAAATAATACTAAAACAATTTTGACACATTTTCCGAAAAAAGTAATACAAATTTAAAAATCAATATCAATTCATTTGGAAAATCGATAGGAAAATTGGAATTAATCGATGCTTTAATTGAGATTCAATTAGTGGAATGGTAAAAATCATCACAGTGATTCCATTGCCAAGTTTATTCCACTTTGATGCTTCGCTAATTTTGCGCGTGCCGTAGCTCTTTCATCAGCTCTTGACGCTTATTCTGTTGTAAAATTTATTCTCGACCATGAATACAAGCGAGAGAAAAGTGATGCGATGGATAGAAAAATGAGCGAACAATAATTTTTATTTCTTATCCGATGATATTTGATGTGAGAGATCACGAAAAGTTTGAAAGTCTGTGGTTATTCAACATTTCATTAACGGTGAAATTTTAATTTGAAAATTTATTAGAGGAGCTTCAATAGATGGCGCTAGTTACTTTTAAATAATATCATATCTATCGCATATTGAACAACTCGAGTCTTCTGTACAAGAGATAATAAGTTTGTCACATATATATATATCCTTTGATTTTATTGAAATTGAAAATGTCAAAAGAATACAAAAAAGTAGTAAAATATTTAAATTAAATTAATATCTCCATTGATATCCTCTATTAGTGTAATAAGAATTTTGCCTGTAATTTGAGGAAGCTTCATTAATTGATCTATCATTTTTTTCCCATCGATCCCATTGATACTGTGGACTCCCTGCGTTTGGTTGTGGCATATTCATATTTTGATCATTTGGCTGAAATTGCATTTGATTGGTTGATTTTATATTTGAATTTCCATTTCCATTAGTTTCTCCATTGCCATTTCCTTTAGAAGAAACAGTTGTTGATTCCATATTCATCTGATTCAGCATCTGCATCATTTGAGTCATTTCCATCATTTCCGATGGTTTGTTGATTTCTTTTGATAAACAAATATCAAGTTCATCTTTATACTTTCTCATTCTGTCATAAAATATATCATTTTCCGTTGTCAAATCATCAATTTTTGATTGCAAACTTACGACTACTTCACTTCGTTCCTTCAAAAATTTTCCCATCTCCATTTCATATAATTCTCTGAGAATATAGTCACGATAGCATCTTGTTCGAGCTTCATACATAATATCAATAGCCTCTTCTCGACTAATTTCTTCATCTTCTTCTAAGTTATCTCTTGCTCCTGTTGACTTCCATATACAGTGATTTCCATTAAGTTCCAAAGTATGAAGTTGGTACAGTCCTTCAAATGCTGTAACATCAATGAATTTTAATTTATTGTCAGAAACTTTAATAACTTCCAACAATTGATTAAATTTAAATAAATCCTTTTCGAGTTCTTCCAAGTCATTTTTGCACAAATCAATATGCTTTAATTTTGTGAATGGCATCAAGTCCTTTTGACTAATGATTTTTAATTTTGATCCATAAACTTGAATAACTTCAATATTTGTAAAATATTTATCATAACCCGATGAAAAATAATATACATTCCGATTAAAGATACGAATAGCTTTCACATCTTTGTTCTTTTTCTTTCCATTGTGAATTCCATTTACACCTATGACCCCACTGTCGGTATGAAGTGCATCAAGTTTCTGTTGTACTGAGCACGTGTACACCTTCCCTAAAATGTCATTAATTTGAATAGTGATAACATAAAATTGAAAGCAGTCCGAACATACCAACAGTAAACCAATCAAAGTCAGATGAATATTTGCAATTTATTTCAACAGCATGTCCTTGTTTAACAAAAACAAGCAAGTTCATTGCTATCATCAAAGTTAACATTCCAAAGAAAAGCAATGCTTTGCTAAAATAAATAAATGTAGCAAAAAATCACCGGAATTGAAATTTAAGGAGAATTTAAAAAGAATTAATTAATTGAGTTATTTTTACGTAAAAGAATTTTTTCAACCTGCTTAACATTTTCCCAGAGAATTAGATTATAAAATGGAAATAAAACTCAGCACCTCCGTTTAGCACCAAACACGTCGATAGCAAAATTACGACTGAGAGTTTGCGAACTATGTATAAGAAATTTGCGACATTCTTGAGAGACCACGACTTTTTTGAGAAAATTTGACTATCCAAACCATGCTTAAAGACCCAACGTGAGAACAACGACAAGAAAAAATTATAATAATAATTAATGTAAACATCAAATTAAATTAAAACCATCACGTTGAACACTTTTTTGCGATTTGATATGCTGTCATAAATATTCATTAAATATGTTTTAAATTAGAAGATGAATTATTTTTAAAGCATTTTCATATTTGTCTTATAATCATCGTTTATCATGTTTTAATGAGTTTTAATAAATAAACTTGATAATAAATTAATTCATTTGATAACAAGAAATAGTAAATAAAGAACTTTAAAGTTTCGAAATTCCCGCAATATATGCTATGAGATGTAAGCATTTAATGGATAGGTGATTTTATCATAACATAAAAAGGTTCACAAACTTTTTTATTCAGCGTGAAACATTAATCAGCCGGAGCCTTTTCTGGTAATTTCTAATTTTTAGTTAAGTTTAAGCTTTCAAGAAACTTTGTGGTTAAAAAAATCCAATAATAGTTAAGCATTAGATCATTAAACATGGCAGAGAAAGTTGGTACAGCACAAAAAGTAAGTAAATTAATTAAAAATTGGCAAATTTATAAGATGAAAAACGTTGTTGTTGTTGTTTTTGTGTCACATTTTATGAAATTATGGAGATATTGAACTATGTTGTTAATAAAACATCAAAATTTATATTTTAGGTTCAACAATATAAGGATTCACTTATTAAGAAGGCAGAAGAGCTAATTGTTCATGGATTTCCAGCAAAAATTGTACAACTCAATGATCTATTAGCCACAGAAAAATTTGCAGAGAGAAATTTCAATGATGTTCATCAAGATCTTAATATCAACGTTCCAGAGCCAATTGTTAATGATGATGATGAGCCACCAACAGCGAAACGTGCACGTGTTGAAGCAGCAACAGATACAACTGGAACTAGAGTTATGATTCTTCCTAATGGCTCTGTTAAATGTAATTTACCAATCTGTGAAATCATAAAAGTAGTTAAGCCAGTAATTCGTGGACTTGTCGAAGATTCAAATCTCCTCAAAATGTGGATCAGCTTTATGATTCCAAAAATTGAAGATGGAAACAATTTTGGAGTTTCAATTCAAGAAGACACATTAGCAGAAATTCAATCAGTTGAATCCGAAGCAGCTGCATTTTTTGATCAGATTTCACGCTACTTCATTTCACGTGCAAAAGTTGTGAGTAAAGTTGCAAAATATCCGCACATTGATGACTATCGTCGTGCTGTTCAAGAATTAGATGAAAAAGAATTCCTCAGCTTATGGCTCGTTCTAAGCGAAGTCCGTAACCGCTACTGCTCACTTCATGATATTGTTATCAAAAACCTCGAAAAATTAAAGAAACCTCGAAGTTCAAACGCAGAACATTTGTACTAAATATACAATGTTATTTTTACAAATTGTCCATTCTGTTTCCTTGACAAGTTGTTTCAATCATGCACTAAGGGATACTAAAGGCTATTGAATCAAACCCTATATTCCTTGACAATTCATTCTATTTTATAATAAGATAAATATTTTGTCAATTTTGAAGAATTTTTGTTTACATTATTATCAATAATTAATGTCAGGATTAATCAACAGCAATCTTTGCTATTCTTAATTGCTTGAAATTATGATTCAACAAGAAACTTTTTCAATCCATTTTCCCTATTTCATCCCGACTCATCAACGTTCTCTTTTCTTTCAATAAATATATTATTTTTGCATAATTTTAAGGAAAACTGAACTAATAATTAGAAAAACAAGAAAAAATTAAAATATTCAACATTCTAAAACGTGTAAAATCAAACTGAAAACATTTCTGAAATCAATAAAAACAATGAATTTAAAAATCACTCTACAAACAATGCAAATTATTTAAAGCTTGATTAAATTTCTAACGATGTTCTTGGTCATGTTTATCACATTATAGACAGCAAATGTTTAAACTGATCATTTTTTAGATAAATTAAATCTCAATTTATATATATTTTTTATACTTTATTTCGAAGTTAAGTTATGAAAATTTCAAAAATTTAAATTTTTCAATTTTTGGTAACTAAGGAGCTTTTGGGGTTGTTGGGAGATGAGCACCTTGTGGTTGGAAGCCTGAAAAAAAAAAAATTAAGTTAAAAGTTCGAATTGTAACAGTTATTTTTTTCTACCATTTTCATCAGCGATCCATTTAACTTCATAGGTTGTTCCACTGGCATCAGTCCATGAGTAACTTCCTTGTTGTACTTCACCAGCAGTTTCTTTTCCTTGGTCATCTTTAAGTTGTTTTAAGCTTCCTTTTGCTTCAGCTTTAATTGAATTGCTGGTTTCAAATGCATATGCAAAATTTCCAACACCATCATCGCTTGAAGTATTCGATAAAGTTTGTGCTTGTCCATCAGTTGATTGACCTTGTGGAGCAGCAGAAATGCATGTTAATGCAACAGCTAAGACAAATAACTTGAACATTATTAATATTTTTTTTGTTATAATTTTGATAACAGTAAGACTTGAAATTCAAACTTAAACTGATACTCTAAATGAAAAATTTGAATGCTTTTATACCAAAAAAGATGAATTTATGTGTGAATCAATCTAAACCTGACATTTAATTTTCGATGGCTTGAGTAATTTTTATGTTGATAATAATTTTGTCTGCATCTTTAGTTTTTGACATCTTCATTCCATTATTCGTTTATTTAAAGGAGTAGAAATTTAGAGGTGTTTATTAAAGGTGCAAATAACCACAATAATTTTTTGATGGCCTTGAAAGACTCACGTGTTTTTTCGGTGATGTTTCATGTTTATCACTTTTACGGTCAATTTCTTTTGACACTGTCAAATGTAATTATTATTTTATTTATTTAAAGTGGTAATCAAATTGAGTTAAAATTTTGCAACTTGTTAGCTATTGACATGCACTTATGGGTTCAAAATTCCACAACAAAAGCTATTTGAGCTCATTTTATTTGGGATAAAAAAAGTTACATAAGTTACAACAAATTTTATTATATTTTCTATTGATATTGTGATTGACGAATAAGACCAGCCGGTCCATCTTCAAAAGAAGCAAGTTCTTGTGGAATAATAGAATTTTCTTCAATAGTTGTACATGGACGACACATGCAGCCTAATGGAGCTTTAGTAGAGACCTGCAAATAGATTAAAACATTAAAAAAATTTAAACTTCACTAATTTAAATTATTACTTTTCGGAATTTCCTTTCTCCAGTTCTAGCTTTCGGACAAAATAGTGAAACGGACGCTTCTCTTTCACCAGACTCTTGACAGCAGTTGCATGATCGCTCCATTTGCCATATTTTGCTTCCACTTACCTGGAAAAATAAGTAAAGTTAGGAATTTCAAAACATTATTTTTAAACCATACTTGGACATAACTGCCGCATTTTCCAATGCACGCAAATGATGGTATTGGTTTTGGTACACATCCTGGATATTGTAGCACGTGAATAACAGGTGTTAATGAGCACTCATCACTAGCACTTGCTAAACTTTTAAAGTGTTGTGTAGAACATCCACAAGCAATTAAAAATGCTAAAATAAATCGCATTTCTGTATAATTCTTAGAATTTTTGTAAGAACTTATAAAGTGTTTAAAGTCGATTGAAAGGAATAGAAACAAGGAAGTTCATATTTATATGGAGAAAACTCTCATGCAGTAGGAGAGTACATTATTGTTAAAGACATAATTCTTCCATTTGACACATGCTGTGATCTTAATGTTTACCAAAAGTTATTACATCATTCAGAAATCGCACATAATTGATAAAAAAAAATCAATGTAGTTGAGGCAGGTCAAGAAAGTTCAACAAACTATTACTAAAATGTAGTTATGGGGAAAAAATATTGAGATTCAGGGATGGAATCCCCAATGCAAAAGTATAAAAGATTAACTATTTAAAGAGAGAGCGGGATGCCAGGAGCTTATTGGAACATCAATCCTAGCTACGATCTTGGAATGAAATATTTATCGTGAAATAAAAATAAAGTTGTCGTACATTGCACACCACAAAATGCTAGTATCATAATACTGAATTTTTTGTGTACTATTCAGGTTATGACTTTTTTGACGTGAAAATGTCACTTTGAGGCTGAAAAGTATTTATAAATAGAACTGGATTTATAAACAGAACCTAATGCATTTTATCTATAAGAAAAAAAATAAATTTAGCGAAAAATCAGATAACGTTAAATAAATAAGAAAATGTTGCAAAATAGTTCAAAGAACATTCACAAAATTTATTTATTCGATAGATCTAGGATCCGTAAAAGATAATAATTATTGTTATTGTTTCCTTTGGAATCTTCTACAATTTAGTTTTTTTGTATATTCGGCATTTCTTTCTTTGATATTGTTTTTGTTTTATTTCCTAATTTCTCGTCATTTATATATTTTACACAAAAATGCATGGATGATGCAACTTTACTGTGTCTAGTCACAAAATTTTGATGAAATATTTACACATTTTGTGTTTTCTACATTAAAATTACTTGCTGTTTTTACGCAAGTAGTTTCCTGATTTTGACTATAAGGTATTTTTTTATAAATAATTTCTTTTTTGGCTCTGAGTCAATAATTAATAATTCACAATTAAGTGTTAAAAATTTAAACTACATGGCAACTTAATAAGTATAATAAATTTTTTCACATTTTTGTGCAAAACAGTCGTAGAAATTTGTTTTATTACTTTTCTTCTCCGCAAATTTAGTTTAATCTGGTTGGTGGGTAAAAGATCGAATCCTGCTGTCAAAGTGCTGCGCTGAGTGCATTTTGTGAAATATTGCCAAATGTGGAAATCCTTGTTTCTCTTCGGGTTTGACTAGTGTTGGAACATCTTGAAGTTTCAACCAAACCATATGTACCACTAAAAATTATTTTGCAAAAGGAAAAAAAAAATATATAAAAGTCAGCTGACAATGCTCTTAATTAAGTAGTGATTTCATTGACCCTCAAAATCACTTCCATGTAATCTGTCTATTTACGTTGAATCTTACAAGGAAATGATTAGAATTGTCAATAAAGGGAACAAGAAAAAAAAATTATGAGTCATTGGAAGATGCGCAATATCTTACCAGCAATTGATGGCACCATTACAATTGTCACAATCCATCGTTTTCCGAAATCTTTCAATCCACCGCTCATAGTTATCAACAATTTTTTATTGATTAGCGACCAAAAATTACATAAATAATAATACTTTGTGGAGAAATTGGTAGAAAGATGTGATAAAATTCACCTTTCAGTTGTGTAGAATGCAAAAATGGAGAGCAATTGAGCGAGTTTACAATAAACTTTAGATATTATTTTAGTGCGCTTTTATCTCAAAATTTTATGGAAAATTATTGTAAACTATTTAATATTTCCTAATTTGAAAATTTCCTCATTAAACTCAAATAATTATTTTTAAAACATTCACAAGATCATAATGATAGAAAACTTTGAAAAAAAAATAACGATCAAAGAATTTTCATATTATTTAGCAAACTTTTTTATTGCCAGTTTGTTTCTCAACTGGAAACGTTTCTCTCAAAAAATTCATAACAAAGATACACGGAGGGTCTTCTAACTTTACAATTGGAACTCTAAAAGAAAGGCGAAAATTATTAATTTGTGACAAGAAATATTAGCAGTAATTTAATTTATTTCAAAATGTCAGGCGAATTATCAAGAAACGAAATATTGCAAATGTTTGTACGAGTGTCGCTTGTTTCACTTGCTACATACTTTTCGGTCAAATGGTAATTTAAATATGTTTAATTAAATAAAGGAATCAAATTTTATTCCTCTAAATTTTAGGATGATAAATCAGATTGATCCAACATGCAAGGCAAAAAAGAAGGCGAAGGAGCGTGCGGAAGGACTTTTGCGAAGGTATTGTAGTCAACAAATTATGAAAAAAATCAATAAAGTTACGAAATTTCTACTGAATTTTATAGGTTGGGCTTTAAGGAATCAAAACTCTCGAATTTAACGGAATATGAAATGGTTATCGCTGCTCATTTAGTCGTTCCTGAAGATATAAATGTCAGTTGGAAGGATATTGCAGGTCTTGATAATGTTGTCCAGGAACTTAAAGAGAGTGTTGTACTTCCAGTGAAACATAGAGACATGTTTCAAACATCAACATTATATCAAGCACCAAAGGGAGTTTTACTTCATGGACCTCCAGGATGTGGAAAGACTTTGATCGCTAAAGCAACTGCTAAAGAAGCTGGAATGAGGTTTATTAATCTTGACGTTGCCATGCTCACTGATAAGGTACATAATTACTAATTAATAGCTAAAAGTGTCAATGTTTTGATAGTTTTTTTAAAAATAATTTTAGTGGTATGGTGAATCACAAAAACTTGCTGGTGCTGTGTTTACATTGGCAGTAAAACTTCAGCCATGTATAATTTTTATCGATGAAATTGACTCATTCCTTAGATCTCGAAATACAAATGACCATGAAGCTACTGCTATGATGAAGACACAATTTATGATGTTATGGGATGGACTGAGTACTGATAATTCTACTGTAATAGTTATGGGTGCAACTAATCGTCCGTCAGATTTAGACAAGGCAATATTAAGAAGAATGCCAGCACAATTCCATGTAGGCTTACCAAATGAAGAACAACGACTTAAAATACTCAAACTTATTCTAGAAAATGAAAAAATATCATCAAATGTAAATTTCCTTCAACTCGCAAAGATTACAAATAGTTTTTCTGGATCAGATTTGCGTGAGTTATGTAGAAATTCATCAGTTTATCGAATTAGAACATTTCTTCGTGATCATGGCGATGAGCTAGATGAACAAGCATTGAGAGCACAAGAAAACCCACTTACAGAAAGTGCCACCAACAAATCTTTACCAGAAATTACAATGGAAGATCTAATGATGTCACTGCAAAAAATGAAACTTTCAAAAATGCACACAGGAATTTTAGGACTTGAAATGAGGAGTGATTTGGATTAAAAATGATATTTTTTAAAAAAAAAATTGATTCTTGGTTCTTGCTAGTGATGCACATATAAATAGAAATCATAAATTTTAGTGTACGATAAATTTTAGAAACAATTAGGGACTCCGAGCAACACATAAATGTTAGAGATTTGAAAAATTATAGAATGTCAGAAAAACATTCAACTACTTACAAAATGCTAGTTTAGTAAATCAGATCAAAATTTTATGTTGTTCAAAAGGCAAAATTCCAGTAATTTAACACGTTTTATTAAATTTCACAAATATAAATTTTAATAATTTAGAAACCAGTGATTTTAAACTTTCTTAGAATAAAATTGAAATATGTGCTGATTTTAGATGAATAACAAATAAAAATGTATTTATCTTGTTGATTTTAAAAAAAAAAAGGATAAAATTACTTACGTCAATTGAATCAAGGGAAGATTTCAAGATGCTCTGATGCTTTATGTCTTCATGTTTACTTTTTCATAATTTGAATTTCCAAAAAAATGTTCATTTAACTTAAAAATAAATGTGTCAAAAAATGCAATCACATGAATTTCACATAAGAATATAGAACAATGACCATGAATTTAAACTGCAATGTCTTATCAAACTCAAAAACAATTTATTTTCTCTGTTAATGATGCATCTTGACCTTATCTGACTCCTTTATTTTTCCTCATTGAATGATTTCTACGTTCGTAAACTCAGTTTGCAATTTCACTGCGCATGAATCAGTTTACAAATTATTTTCAAGAGAAAAAGATGAATAAGATTTTACCTGTTTTAATATTTACCATTCTTCAAACTTCAAAAGTATTTAGTGAGTGAGTGTTAAATAGGTGAACATTTATCTTGAATTCTTTATGGTGATTTTTTATATAAAATTTGTAACATTTTTTCAAAAAGTTCTGAACCAATACAGAAAGCATGTGGCTACATGAGCAGCATTGGATCATGTGATGATGAGTATACACTTAAATACTTTTATCATCCAGAACATGGTGATTGCAGTAGATTTTGGTATTCCTGGAAATTCAATTAACTTTGAAATTTCATTAATTAAATGAATTTTTTTATGTTGAATGGACGTGCATATAGGTATGGAGGATGTGGTGGAAATTTAAATCGTTTTGACACAGAAGAAAAATGTATATCAACTTGCATTAATCCAATTGGACGTGCTGTTTGTAATTTACCAAAAGTTCGAGGTCCTTGTACACAAAATCACAGAATGTATTACTTTGATAGCGATGAAAAGCAATGCAAAGTTTTCAATTACGGTGGTTGTCTTGGAAATTCTAATAGATTTGAAAGTATGAATGAATGTCATTTGAAATGTGAGGAAGCCGAAGAAAATGACATGCCAAGACATGTTGGTGAAAGGGCTCAAAAAAGTGCTGGTAAGCTAGAAAAAGGAACTTTAAATTATTTTCAATACTTTTTTTTATAGCTAAAAGTCAGCTTCAAATTGCCGATGACTGTAGAGATAATCCCAATTTTGCTAAATGTGCGGACGTCATAAGGAGAAATTATTGCGATCATGTTTACATTACTATTATTATTATTACTATTATTTATTATTGCATTACGATTATGTAGAAATGTCACTGAATAAATGATTCAAATCATTGTTGTGTAAGATTTTTTTCTAATCAACTCTGTTTAAAAGGTTAATTTAAGAAAAAAATCTTACATAAGTGCGAATTATTCAACGATCCTTTAAACTACAATTTTTACTTATGTACGTTTTTCTCTCGTTTCTTTTTATACTCTCACTAAGTTCTTTATACTAAATTTTAATTTCCATTAACTTGTATGACACTTATTTTTTTTGTTAATTATATATTATTCAAAACATTCATGACTATCTAAAACAAATTAAAACTAAAATTGATGGTGATAAAAGTGAAAAACATGTAGATGATTTTTTTTCTAAAAATTTTACAATTTTTATGACAAATTTTACAAAAGCTGAAGTTCCAAGAAGTTTTTTTAATACCGAAATTTTCTTTTAAATATCTAACTCTGGGATGACTTGGTAATATTATTAAAATGGCTTGGGAGAATCAAATAATCTAATTAAAGTTTAAAAATTTAAAATATAAATGAATCATTGAACATTAAAAAAAAAACACGAAAAAGTTTTGATTAAACTTTATTATCACAAAAAGCCTCCCGAAAATCATTGATTATATATGTATTAAAAATTATTAAGAAAATTTCAATTGCATCCTTCAAATTTTATTTTTCCTGCAAAATTAATTTAATATCATTGAAGTTATCAAATCTCTTTTTCCCTCTATGGCAATTATTTTATTTCTTGTAGAGTTAAATTTCTTTTATCGTTAATTATTGCTTCGAAAATAATTGTTAAGGATAACTTTTTTAATTCTTCCATTTTAAATATGTTGTTCAAGAATTTTTGTTTGGATCTCTCAATTGAAAATAAAGTCTTAAAAAATAACTCAATATTAATTAGATTCTGTCGTCGTCATAAAAGATCATTCGAAGTTATTAAAAACATTTCAATATATTTAAATCCTCCATTATGTATTTTGAAGTATCTTAAACCATGTGATGATACTTAATCGATTTACATAAAATGACTCACTTGCTAAATTTAACTACTCGAGTATTGTTCATTTTTATAACATCTACATTTTTAATATGACACAGGAGATCATAGAATGACATCGACTGTCCTTAATTGCCTTGATGTCAATATAATTTCTCACATTTCAACAATATCGATTGATAAATCTTTTCATTCACTGTCTTCAATCATCATCTTTTGAATCATAATTTGTACTCGAATTACCTTGCGAAATGGCTGATGGTGATGGGCTCTCGTTAGGATAATAGTAACCTTTATTTCCCATCGGCATTATATTTCCATCGAAACTCAAACGACCACTCATCGAAGGTGATAGCGGTGCTGAGCCTGATGATCCGGGCGGTTCAGGTGATTGCATATTATCAAGATAATTCGGGTTCATCTCACTGCCATCACGACACCAGAGTTGCCGCATCTCGTTGCGACGACTACGCATTAATGATTTGTACTCACTGATGCGCATTTTCTTTCCTGAAAGTGAAGATTCTTGAGATGCAATTGTGTACGGTTGTTTGAATTGATTTGATCGTTTACCGTCAACTATACAGGTGCGCTTTGGACGCGGTCGGTATCGATAATCTGGGTGCATCTCCATATGAAGCTTCGACAGACTGAAATAAATAATTATTTTTAATTAAATAAAATTTATTGAAGATATTAAATGATATATATGCTTACCGTGATTGTTCTTCATAGTATGGCTGTTTCTGAGCATTTGTCATAGCTTTCCATCGAGCTCCTGATAAAATTTGTTATTTTAAAAAATTAAATTTGAATTTTAAAAGATTATTAGATGGTTATAATTTACCAAGAATTTTTGAAATATTTGAATTGTGCATATCGGGACATGCTTTAAGAATTTTCCTTCTTTCATCTTTAGCCCATACCATGAATGCATTCATTGGCCTCTTAATATGAGCTTTTCCTCGTGATTCACTACCCGTTCGTTCACCCACCATTGAGTCTTGTCTGTTTAATAGTAAATAAAAAAATAAAAATTTTTCTTGAAATGAATAGCGAAACAAAATCAACTTACGACTTTCCAATGAGATCTCTATCTGCGCTGTTTCTACTTCTTCCTTGCTGCCTTACCATCCGAACTTTTTCATCTCCAGTAAGTCCAATATTAGAAACATCTCGTTTTTGTTTTGAAACATCATTAAGACCAATAAAGTTTGCCTCATTCATCATCATGGCATCTCTTTGACTACCAGTTGCACCCATCATTCCCAAATTTTGATTATTTGTACCTGAGTTATGTTGAGCAGCTGCTGCAGCCATGACCGGCCATAGCCTACATGCTGCAAAAAAATCAGGATCATCGCTTGATAGATTGTATGGGAGACGAGGTTGATTTTGATGAGGAGCTTTAGAACTTGATGCATGATGATCATGATTTTGATTTTTATTTGTGTTATTGTTTCCATCATTTTGCATTCGAATAAAAGATTGATCATCATTTGATTTAGTTTTCTTCGTAAGATTTAATGGTGTATCATGATGTACATCATTCTTATGTTTTTCATGTTCGTTGTCGGTTTTCATGAGATTTTGTGATAGATTCCATGGAGCTGATGAAGCATCATGCGGAATGGGAACATAGGGAGTTTGGAGGTAGGGTAAGAAAGGAATCAGAGGTGACGGTGCGATTGGAGTTCCTAAAACTGGACTTCCAGCTTGAGGTGATGAACGTTTCGATGGAGATTTATTTGCCATTTGATTCTGTAATTCTTGCAAAAATGATTCTTTTTGTAATGCAAGTTCGTCAAGATTTTCAGGGATTGGAAACGGAAGAGATTTCTGTGCTAGTAGAAGATCGTGATGAAGTTTATTGTTGTCAAAAGTGTTCATCTGAAATTAAATAAAATTAAGGATTTATAAAACGAATTTTCACACACATTACAGATTTGTTTTTTAAAAAAATTTAAATTTTTGAAATTTTCACCTCCAGATCGCGCCAGATCGATTTTTGAAAAACTAAAACTTCTTTACCGATATTTCAGAAATATATAAAAATATTCAAATGACTTGACCAAAAAAAAAATCTTACAAAAAGGAGCAAAAACATCAATATTTTTTTTGATGTATTGTAACTAATTACGTAATTAGTGCATAGCAAAGGGAACATTTCAATGCTAATTTTTCATATCAATAATGATTTATTTGTGCCCTGACACAATAGAAAGTAAATACAAAGAAGCTTATGAGCAATCTATCATCATCAAAAAATTTTAAAATATGTCACAATTTCAGTAATGACAGCGCCAAAGGGATAATAATATTTTGATTAATTTTAAAGGAACAGTTTAAAAAAATTTAAAATTGGTGCAAAATGAAGGCAAGATTTGAGATCAAGTTAGATATTCCATAACAAATAATTTCATGTGTTTTGACAGCAAAAATAAAAATGAATCCCTCTTACTTTCCAATGAATAGAAAATTAGATTCCTTTACTTCAATTAGTTCCTTATGATTTCCACCCTCATCATAATTTTTTCCTTATTTTTTTTACTTCTTTTCTATTTTCCTATTCATGTCACATCAAAAATTTTCTTTTCTTTCTTATATCGTCTTCTTCTCTATAGATTAATTTTTTTTATCGACATGCAATCAAGAACAGAAGCATTAGTGTTAAGGATTTTCATAATGGAAATTATTACTGTAGATTATTAACTAAGTTTATTCATTATCTCAGAATGTCATAAAATGTCAATGTTGTTTATTTTTTGAGGTATTGTACAATGTAATGGAAGTTTAATTAGAAATTGTAAGTTTGTATGAAAATCAGAGATCGAAGCCGATTTTTTCGGCTTAACTCAATTTTTGATTTTTTTGATAGAAAAAAGCCATTTAACACCCATTATTATTATTATTATTATTATTATTTTTATTATGGTCCATCAGCATATAGCTATTTAAAGACCTGCACTATTCCAAAAAATACAATGATCGCAATTATCTTTATTTTTTATGTGTCATCTGTTGGGTAGATGTTAAACCTCCGTTGCATTTTAATCAAAACATCCTCTTCTTGCTCTTTCATCTGTTCATCTTTTTCTTCCTCTTCTGACTCATCGTCAGAATCTTGATTCTCCGTTTTAGCAATGTCATACTTGAGAAATAGTTTAAATCGATCTGCATTTGTGTTTGGGGTTTCTGCAAGTTCGTCCACGAAGTTGCAGAAATCATTGATTGTCTTCTCTATGTCTGGGATTTTTTTCAACTTTTCCTGAGCGAAAGTTAATTTCTTGAAAAGTCCTTCAATATTGACTGCTTCTTGGAGCTTCTCTGCGTTACTTATTTGACTTGATATGACCGAGCTGTAGGATGCAGCTTGACTTTTCTCGATCACATTATTGCACGCAACTTTTCCTTGTTTCGGCAATTGTGGAAACTGTTTTGATGATAGTTCAATTGCATTTTTAATTGTTGCCTTTGGTTTGCTTGGACGTGGAACTTTGGTTTCTGCATATTTTTTATATGCAGGACAACCGCGATGATTTGCCGAATGATTTCCTCCGCAATTGCAACAGACAACTGTCTCATCTCTAACTGACCGAGGGCATTGTCCTTTTGTATGTGATGCATTACATTTAACACATTTAGCTTGAAATCCGCAATTAATCGAAGCATGTCCCCATGCCTGACAATTGTAACACTGTGTTGCATTATTACTTGACTTCTTAAGAATTTCCCATCTGATCATGACTCCGTCGACGTTGCGGTGAGAGCGATTCAGACTATCCAGAGTTATTGTCTGGTCAAAATGCACCAGGAACCAAGTGAATTCATTCTTTCGAATGAAATCAGTGACTTTAAGAGCTGGAACATCTTCCTTCTTGAGCATTTGAAGCAAGTTTTCATTCGAGACATCATAGAAACCTTTCAAAATGAATTTATTAGATTTTTCACACTTTTCTGTGAAGGTGTGAAATCCAATCTGATCCGATGTTAATTTCTCAATCAGGGTTCTCTTATCCTGAATGTTGAAGCATGAAACTTGGGTGCAATTTGTTCCTCTGATCTTGCATAAAACTTTTGTTGTCATTTTTAATATCGAAATGACTTTTTTGGTATCTTGAATGCTGGCACTGACGAATATCGGCTTAACTGGCTTGTCTTCTCCTTGTGATTTAGCTGGTGGGCAAATCCGCAGAAAGCATGAACTGGGAAAAAGCGAGTTGTAATATTTTTCTACTTGTTTGAATTCAAAAAAATAAAATACGTTAAAATTTCTTCGTATAAAATTATTATTCTGTTGCTTAAATTAATTTGGATGGTTTTTATCAATAAATTATTGCAGAAAAGTTTATAATTAAAGTATAATATATGTGGATAGATGCCCACAAATAGCAAGTTAAAATGAAATAATCAAAACGTTTTCTAAAATTTTAAATATTATTGTGTGTTTTGCAACAATGCATTATCTTGAGTTTCGCAATAAAACGTTCTGCAGGATCGATTAACGCTATTTTTTGTTAATTACTTTAAATTGAGTACGTATATTTAAGAAATTATGTCAATTTATGATACAAAATTGCATTTCCAATGCAATAACTTGCAAGCCATATTGTCTAACTCGTTAAACATGTATTTTTTTGGATTTTTCAAAATTAAATTTTCGTGCGCAGGATCGATTAACGCCATTAAATTCAAAATATCTCTTTAATTAAATGTTTTAATCTTGTGCTAAGTATCAAAAGTTGTTCATTTTTCAAAATTACGCATGATTTGGTATTAAAACATTACTTTAAAAGTCAAATAGGAGAGAAATTTGAGAAAAATAAAATTTTAAAGCGTTTTATTGCCTGCGGATTTGCCCTGGTTGCGATTTAATTTGCTCCGTTGTTGTTGACAAAACATCACCATTGTTTTCTTTATCAGACTTATCCTTTTTCACATTGAGATCTTTTGACGAGTTTGGTGATTTTGATTTTTTGCGCTTTCTCACGCCCATTTCCACTTTCCTCCACCTTAGCACTCACAATTTGATTGAAAAATAATCAATACACTACTTCCAGAGCAAGTAGGACTATTATCAACTAATTTTTTAAATAATTTAATAAATTTTTGTTGTTTACACTTTGAGGGGCTGAGCACTGGTCCCATTTAACACCCATTTCAGTATTTAAATTGAACTTTACATGCTTTACTATGATTCTGTGTAATATTTTGTCAGCATGTAGCTAAAGTAAGCTCAGAATTTCAAGTTAAAGAATGTTAAGCCGAAATTTAAGCCGATCGGCTTAAAATCGGCTAAATTGAAATTCAGAGCTTACTATAGCTACATGCTGAAAAAATATTTCACAGAATCATAGTAAAGCATGTAAAGTTCAATTTAAATGCTTAAAATGGGTGTTAAATGGCTTTTTTCTATCAAAAAAATCAAAAATTGAGTTAAGCCGAAAAAATCGGCTTCGATCTCTGATGAAAATCCCCCATCTAAACTTTTACCATCACAGACGTCATCTAATTTGCTGTCATTAAATCCACAACTCATAATTTTTTCCTCATATCTCTTGGCATTTTCCTAAATTAATATTAGAAAATAAAATAAAAAATTTTCCGCTTTTTTTGTCATACATGAAATAAAAAAAATTTATCCATTTTTTCTCCATTTATCTGAACTGGCTGAATCAAGAAAAATGAAATGAAAGAAAAATTACGAGATGTGATTTAAATTTATTTCATTTATTCTCTCGCTTCGCTTTGTGACACATGTTATTGAGCTATTAACTTTGTTGTTAACATCGCCTTCATAGACATCTACAGGCGCTGGCTGTTTAATTCGCATAATGACAATCATAAAAATAGTCAGTCACACAAATCCAGGCAGATGCGAGCGAGGGAGGCACACATTCACAATATTTTGATCAGCGCTTTTTAATTATTTCATTAATCATTGAAATGCGTCGTCGAGCTCGGCTACTTGTTAGATACACATTAAAAAGAAAACAAAAATTCAAAGGCGTGAAAATTCACGAAACAACACACGGATGGGAGTCAGGTTACGTTCTGGAAGCGATTATGACAAAAAAGTGTTTTTAAACATTTAGCTTGAAATTTTTAAAGTTTTTTTATATTAAATAATTTTTTTGGCTATTCAAGTCATCGCAAATGCTACAAAAAGGCGCCATTTGGTGTTCAATATATTATCTATCTTACTTGTTTATTTATTTTTTGTTTAAAATTCATATTTTGACTTTTTTCTCTCCATGAAAAGTTTGGAAATTTTTTGTGCAATAATCACAAAAAAATGATGAAAAATCTCTTCAAAATTCTCGCTTTTTATTTTCAGAAATAAAACAAATATTGTAGAATTACAGGCAAAATGAAAGAGAAAAGATGGAAATAAGAGTGGACAGCTGCTATAGTACATTATTTTCCATATTTTTATTGCAATATTAATGGATTTTTCAGTTTACAAATCTACAGCTACCGCTCCTTTTTTTCAAATATTTTCATTTTTGATGTTTGTTGTGAATTTATAATGATGATGACATAATGGAACATTTTTCGTTTTATCACATGAGATTATTATTAATATTAATGTTATTATTATTAGCATGTATATTTTGAATGGACTGGAAATTTTATTCCATTCATTGAAATAATTTATAAGCAAGCATCGAATTTTCACGGCATTAAATGTTGATATAAGTCATGTGCTTAATACATTTTGATAAACCCTTCATTCTATTAAGTTTTCGTGATTTTTGTCATAATATCAAAATTAGAAAATTTTTATAAATAATGGAACTCGAAAAACGATATTTTTAAACAAATATGAAATCTTTAAACTTCACTTTTGTTTTTGATTTATTATATTTTATGAGATTATCAAAAAAAAA